AGGTATTGCGGAACTTTTTTCTCAGAGACATCTTTATGGATGACAGGGCCTGAACTCACAGGTCTTTTAGGGTCCCTGTTCAGAAGACCCAGAGGTTTGGGCTTACTGTACTTCTCATTGTATTCACCTTTGGCACTCAATTCGATTTTCAGACCCATGGAATCAATGATACTTTGAATCGGTTCACAATTCAAGCTTGGGTTCAGTTTAACCAGTTCAATAGATTCAATACAACCGTTGGGTGGGATTCCTAATTCGTTCAATATATCTTCTTTGGAGAACTTTATGATACCTTCAAATTCCCAATAAACAATGAGAATTTGGAATTTGAAATTTGTATTTAGAGAGATACCTTCAACCAATTCACGAAGTATCAAACTCTGTTCACGGATCTTTTCAACACCATCACAATTGAAGACAAGCACACTTACATTTTCAAAAATATGAGGGTTGATTTCACAAGATCCAATAATTTCAAGTTCAACGTTACCCTGATGGAGAACGTGCTTCAGATCTTCACCAATACAAAACTTTCTTCTCAGGAACTTTGACGTTGTAGATTCAAACTCTTCAAAGAACACAAGCAGTTCATATTTTTCAAAGGGTAACCGACTTAGATTTGTCAACATTCTTTCAAAGTTAAATCCGCTCAAGTCAACTGGTTTAACACTTGGTTTGTTGTTTGTAACAAGAGAACTGGTTACAGCACCTGAAAGAACTCTTTTCCTCTTGAATGCCTGTGGAATACCAAAATTCTTTGAGGTTACGACAAACTCCTCTCTTCTTCTCTTCTTCAATTCTTGCTTCTTTTTGATTTTAGAGGCAACTTTGATAACCTTCCATACCAGCTTTTGTTTCAATTTGTTATTTCTAAAGTTTTCTGCAATGACATCCATAGTTTCAAAATAGATCAATTCACTGATGAATGCCTCATAAAGTCCTTGACTATAGGACTCTAATAACACTCTTCTACGTCTCTCTGTTTGAACTTGAGCATCAGCAAGTGGCTTAACAATACTTTGAACTTCTTCTTTAACAACTTTCCCAATGATCGTTGAACTCAAAGAATCGGCAACAGTATTAACAACTTGTCTCAGTCTCTCTTGTCTTTCTAATCTCAATTGGCGCTGGTTTTCCTCCACTAATTTTTGTTCCTCCACTTTCTGACGTGCCAATTCTCTCTCAGCAGCAATGGCATCAGCTCGAGCCTTAGCTTTAATTTCTTCCTCTTGTTTAAGACGCTGTTTTTCAGCAGTTATTTCGTGTTCTCTTTGTTGTTTTTGCAGGGCCTCTGTATCCTCAGTAGGGTTTTGAACTTTTGGCTCTGAATTTGGAAATGAGAATTGATATGCCGATGTATTATGGTTCACATTCCCAAAAGATGTTTGCCGTGGTACAGACTGGATGCCATTCTGTGCTCCACCTTGGAATACAAAAGATGTAGATTGCTGAGAGCCAAAAGATGGTACGGTTGTTGAACGTGAATTGTGTCCAAACGTCAACCCCAAGTTTGATTGGCCAATATTGACAACATCCTTATACGAGGACACCTTGGAGTCATGCCAGGTACAAAAGGATTGTCTAAAGGGTCTATGATCTGGAATCAAGTGAGAATTATGAGTCAATGAGAAAATGTCAACATATTTCTTTCCTTCCAATATGGAGATCTGCACACCGTAATAATTGCAGAAATCACTCAAATCCGACTCATCATTGAATGCAAGTAGTTCGATAAAAAAATTCACAGGGTAAGGCTTTGCCCTCGTATGCAAAGATCTCTTAATGGCCTTAAATGCATAAAATCTGATTTCATTGAGATGTACTTCCATGATATACGTCATTAATAAGGGAAACGTACCTCTCTTAAAATTGTGGAAAAAAGTCTTGAAAAGATCTAAGACATTTTCAGTAAATTGAAATCCCCTTTCAACAATATTAGTCTGTATCAAGTTTCTAATGTTTAATGCCATTTGGACTTTATCGTCCTCTAATATTTCCTTAGGTAGTTCTTGAATTTCACGGTCAAGTTCAGGATCACGATGCTGACTCAACATGTAGTAAGCTCTAAACTCTGCTTCATTTGGTGCTTGTAAACCTCTTGATCTATATTCAGAGTACATCTCAGACAACGTTTTCAACGCTTTATTCATCTGTTCTAACTCTTGTTGTCTTGAGAATTCAAATGACGTTTTAGCCATAACATGTAGAGTGATTATATGGATTCTGACAATCTTTTCATGGCATTCAACAGCTTCTGGACCGAAATAATTTTGATAGGTGAAATCTTGACGTATTGATCTCGTTCTATCCCATATAAAAGATTGTGCCTCTGGCAATTCTTGTAATACATTATCGATCAAATAGTCCAATGTTGACAAAAGCACCTGTGGAGGTCTCACATCTGAGGGTAGCGGTGGTGGCTGTCCAGCAGCAGGTCTTGAGAATGCCTTTATTGCACGGCTTTTTGATATCTTACCAGTTGATGGATCCCTTTCGTATTTTCTAACGTCGTTCTCCACAGATCTTCGTATTCTTTCGTATACAGGACACATATCATGGCACGAACCTCTAAATGAAATCGCCTGGTCTAAAAGTTTTCTGGTACCTTCTTTGTCCACAAGTCCCTTCTCTTCCATATATTTCCTCTCAGCGTTTCTTAATTGTTGAAACTCTTCAAAGAGAGAGGAAGGATCAGATGCCTTACTCTCTAAGAGCGCCATTTTGGACTGGTTTTCCCTATCCCATTGATCCTGGAAAGAGTGATCGTCCGTCAGCACAGAGGATTGATAAAGAAGAAACTTTGGTAACTTTCTTGTTGCATGTTCCACACGTTGAAATTTCGAAGCATCGAATTGGAACCCGCCTATAACAGGGTCCAAAGCCAATTCTTCAGGTGATAGTGTTACACCACTGGAATTACTGGCGTGCGTTGATCCCTCCAGTGCGCTTGAAGACGATGTCGGCTTCCTCACAAAGTTCTTTGAAGATGAATTCTGGAAGGGGTTCTTCTTGGAGAAGTTGCCGTTTTTTCGGTTGAGCCCACTACCACCTTCTGGGTGAGAAGGGGTAAATGCAATCATCTAATGGACACCTCTGTCTCTCGTGTTTGATGTATGCAAAGCTTATTGCTTCTTCAGTTCTGTCCAGAGCCCCGCTCCCCTTCATCAACAGTAAAGAAAACACAAAAACTGAGAGAGAGAGAGTAAGAGTAAGTGGAAAACACCCGTACACCACATAGTCCAACCAAAGAGGAAATTTTCGTGTACTGACGACGAACGGCCTTTTCCGTTTCCACGGATAGGATGTGTGTCCCCTCCTAACCTGGCACAGAGGGCACACTTCCAAGAACAAAAATGGACGCAACGTACACAATATAAAATTCACAGCTGCGCAACCAAATCCCTACCGCTTTTTGCGCGCTGCCTTGTGTACCCCCCCCCCCCATTCACTAAAATTTTGTTATAGAAAAACCGCAACGTTAAAAGAACGCGGTGGAAAAGCGAAACTTTACGCCAACAACAAGCAAATCAACCCAGTTTCAAACCTTTTGCCACAAAGCTCGAAATATAAAGGGGAACATAGCAGTGCATCATAAGATATACATCGATATTACCTTTCGTTCACTTTAGTTTTTGCTGTCTTGGTTCCATTTATTGCAGCTTCCCCTCGTTCCTTCATTTGTTTGGTCCATATAATTCCATAGGGTTTTACGGATTCCTTTCTTGATTATCCCTTTTGTGTGTGAGCCGGCTTACATTTGAGTTGCTTAGTATTCTGGTTACCTATAAAGTCAGCAAGCTTCTATTTTGGAGTAACAACCTCTGCAATTTTCAGGAGTGAAGGAGGATTTATGGTTTAGATACCAAAGTTGAACTGAAGATGTCTAAAGATAAGCACATGCTTCTTGAGCAAAAGAGTGTTGAAAATGGCGATACTCGCTCTGTTGATCAATCAATAGAGAGTGAAAATGACCCAAAGGGTAATACTAGTTCTGAAACCATTGTGATTCAGAGTACAGAGAGGAGTACGGGCAAGAGTGACGACGTACAGAGCAATAACGATAAGAAGGTTGATGACCAGGAGGAAGTACCGCCAGGTGCGTCAGCGCCAGGGGAAGTTCCAACGACCCAGTCAGCTTCCACAGCGTCTTCCAGTAAAGTTCCAAGCTCCACTACCTCGATACATGAAGAACTTCCAGCCGGTAGTGTCATAGGAAGCAATACCAACGTGGTGGCGAACAGCGCGACTGGATCAGTCAAAGGTCCTCCAATTCTGAGAAAGAAAACAGACGTTAATAATCCAACCTTTTCGAGAAGCTCAGTATCTGAAAAGACAGGGAAGATCTCAGGTACTACAAAATCAATGATTGTTGAAACTGAAACTGTGGATTCTTCCAATATCCCATCAGTTACTCTTCCAATCGCTGCTTCAACAATCGGAAGTCAGAACAGTGATCTCATTAATGGCTCCTCAAATTCTACAAATCTGTCGTCGTTGAGAAGTAAGAGAAGTGCTTTATTTGTTGATCAGAACCCGCAGCTAACTGTACAACAAACGAGCAATGCAGCACTCGATAACGACAATGTTAGTATCACTGGCTCGATAAGGAATAGAACGAAACACTTGAACCCAACTGAAAACCATGGGAATATTACAAAGGCTGGTGCTACTAAGGCAGATTTATTTGCTGCTAAGATTGCTAATGCTGTGGGCGATGCTTCAGATTCTGATTCGGAAGAAACTTTTGTGTATGAAAGTACCCCGGATGCGGTGAGTACTTTACCTGCTGTTAAGAGTATAACGTCTACTGGATCTGTCAATGCTAAAGCAATGAGAAATCAAAGGAATCTAAGTATGCCAATGTCCAGTACTCATATCTCTTCACCTTTGAATACACCTTTGGCCATAACGTCAAATGATGCAGCGAAGGAGAGGTTGTTATCAACTTTCCCCTCTGAAGATGAAACTGAAACTGTGAAGACCCCACCACATGAACAGCATACTGTGGATAAAACTTCTATTGATAATACATGGGATAAGGATGAGGGAAGTCTACAAAATCAATCAGAAGAAAAAGTACAAGGACAGGACGAAAAGTCTCAGCAACAGTGCCATGAACAGGGACAACAAGAACAACAACCAATTGAATCCTCTCAAAATGAAGAAGATTCTCATAATGTTGTAAAGCTCCCAGTTACAAATCAACAACAACTAGGAGTTAAATTACCTGATGATAAATCAAGAAGTACAAGCACAACGAGCTTTTCAGGTTACAAAACCAATTTTCACACTGCTACAAACAACAACAACAACAACAACAACAACAACAACAACACTAATAATAACACTAATAATAATTCCCATAAAGAGAGCCAACTCAGAACAACAACATCTAAGTTGTTTGATATCAAGGGAAGCACTCTGAGAAGGTATTCTGGTGTGCCTGATGATGTGAATATTGAGGATTATATTGATAGGTACGATGAAGAACAGGAAATCGGAAGTCCGGGTGGGTATCCTGATTTTTACGATTATGACGAGTATGAAGACGAGGATGAATTGACACCTTTGAACGTGAGCAGAGCCAACAATAATTTGAGAAACAAGGCTTCAAGGCACTATCTACCAAAAAAGTCACTAAACTATGGGGCAGTTGGTGCTAATAGTGCTGATAACAATGGATACATTGATGCACTTGCTAAAGATGACCCTAATGGAAGAGGCTTACGTGGAAAGAAATCCAAGCTGAGGTCAAACTACCAATATTTGCAACAAGAACAGAATTCTCCACATGACTTCTTCAACAGCAGGAAACATTCCAAACTACAGATGATCAAAAATACGATGTATGTCTTTATGTTCGTCTTTGGTCTTCTTGCATTTGGGTTCATTGCGGGATTCTTTTTGGCAACTACCAAAGACCTCCAGGATGTAGCAATCACTACGGTGGATGACATTCTTGTATCAAACGATGAGTTGGTTTTTGATATGAGTGTCCAAGCTTTCAACCCTGGGTTCGTTACTATTGAGGTCTCGGATTTAGAATTAGATATATTTGCCAAATCCGCATTTGTTGATAAATTCCCTCAGAGAATACCAATATTTGATCAATCGCAGTCAGAATCACAAACTGTTTTGTTGGGAACTGCAAGTAAGTTTGAAATACCATTGGAATTCGCCAGTGGATTGTTTAGCAGGGAACGTGTAATCGCAAAGAGTGCCATAAAATTGTTAAACCCAGGTCGAAATAGCACAGGGCTAGACTCGGACAAGGATGATAATCACAAGGTGGAGGATGATTCTGATAAATGGAAAGAAATTATTGAACATCCATTTGAGTTGATCATAAGAGGAAGTTTGAAGTATGAAATCCCACTATTTGGTACCCCAAGGTCGATTCCAGTGACAAAATCTGTGGCAGTTGACCCAGATGCTGACGACCAGATCCTAAGAAAGATGCTTGAAAAGAGCGATGTTAAGGAACACATATTTGGCTAAAGTGATTACAGTATATATACAAAATAAATAATCAAATGTGCTACCCCCTAGTTCATGTTACAGTATTCGTTAGAATAAATTTGGATCGTGTATGTACAGTTTGCTATTGCTTTGGAGAGATAATCAATATTTTGTTGTGTGTGTGTCAGTGGAATCTCCTCTTTTAAGCGAACAAGAATATTCAAGCTCTAGGTCTGATTCTGTCGTATGAACTGCTTGTTGCTAGCTTTTTATCGTTAACCTTCAAAATCATCGATCTAATGACACGAGGATCTGCTCTTAGTGTTCGAAGGATTTCGGATTGGACAGATGTACTTGAATCGAAAAGCATGAGGAACTTCTCACCTTGAAAATGATGTTCTTGATCCTTGGTCATAATTTTTGGAAGATGTTGAAGTCCAAGTGACTTGATTTGTCTAACCACGCCACGATTTTGGATTATCAATCTACCAATAGTAGAGGCAACTCTTGAACACAACGCTTGTTAGTCAATCTCTCAACAAAGATCTAAACATCAGTGACTCACTCTTTGGCCTCAACAGCAGCTGAACTTGGATTTGTAACACGTGCAATGGCGATGAGTTCGTACAGCATGGTGAAAAGGATGTATGCTAACTCTATGACACTGGAGTATCTCTTATTGGATATTTGTTAATGGACATTTTTTTTTTTCATGGGTAGTTCAATATCAAAATTTCGCGGCTAAAGTTTCAGGTAGGGTAATGTTGACCTACAAAATTGACGGACCGGGGGATCTTTGTTCATCTTAACCCATTGACTACATGCCCAAGTATTAAGAAGTATGGAGTGGCCGGAAAAGCAGCGAATATAGCAATACAATACACCAAGTTAGTGATTTCTGACTTACTTATTACTTGAAGTTTAATTTTGATCATCTCCCCAATTAAAGTGTAACCGTGTCTAAAGTTACTACCGCAAGACAACCATGGTACAGTAATATAATACAGCACATTCAATGAATTTGTGTATGCTGAAGTTTCACGGCTCAGTATCTATCCACTGTTACTATCGCCTTGTTATAGAGCTTTTGACGTGCGCAAGAAATCTAAATACTTGAATTGAGGGGGGGAGGGCATGCAAACTCCCTGTGCTATCAAGAATTTCTGTAAGAACCATACTAACAATTTTTGTTAAGAGTCAACTGATTTTCTCTTACCTTAGTTAGAATGTTACTAATGAAAATAGCAAACCTCCTTCAAATTTCCCCAAAGTATAGCAAGTGGTAGCTACTTCTCTGGCTAAGAGATATACAAAGTATGAGCATGTAATCTTCAATACAACATCAGATATAACAATTCAGAGTTTGTACGGCATAATCAAGAAAGACGCGTGGATTTGCTTATATCACAACAACCTAAAATTAAGAAACTTTAAGACTACCACACACTAGAACTGATTTCTATCATCCTATATGCCGACTTTTAATTTGATTGGTGGTTCTTCTGAAATAACCTAGGATGATGTTTTTTTTTTGTGTCTAGCTCGTCGTTGCCCTAGCAATCGCAAAAATGTAAGGAAGTTTC